CTCAGTAAAGTCAAATAACTCTATGTTGTGCAAGTACCGTTTGCTATGATGTGTTGCCGGCTTGCGATATTATGTGTGATGCTGTCGTAGTATGATACGGAAGGTTATTTCATGGTGTGTTATGGTATGTTCCGTTATATGATGGGATGTTGTGGTATGCCGTGTTATGTTATGGCATGCCTTGTTAAATTATGGTATGTGGTGCTATGTTTGCTGACGGTTCGGTTCTGCATGGTCTATTGTGATTTGCTCCGCTAGTATGTGTCGTTGTGTTTTGCTGTCGTGTTATGATAGGCTCTGTGATGCTGTATTATGGTCGGATGTGGTATGTCGGGGTGTGTGATGGTATGTTCGGTTATGTTTTGCTATGTTCATATTATGCCATGCAATGCTCTGGTATGCCCTGTGATGTGGCGTTATGCATTAGTTTGGCACAACAGTGCTACGTTATGTTTTGTCATGCCCGTGTTCAGTCGTGTAGTGCTATGATGTGTGATGCTGTGTTTTGTGCTGCTGTGTCATGACATGACATGTTTTGTCAAGCTGTGTAACGTTATGTTCGGTCAGGTTATGTTACGATGGGTTATGCCGCCTTCTGTTATGCCATGTTCTGCTCTGGTATGTTGTGTGATGATCTGGTATGCTACAGTTTGCCATTCCATTGCTATAGCATGTTTTGCCATGTTATGCCATGCACGTGGTCTGTTCTGTCATGCTATCTTGTGGCATGGTGTGTCGTGTCGTGGTCGTCGTCACTATGTGTTATGCTGTGCTGTCGTATTATGACATGTTCTGTGATGATGTCTCACGGCATTATATGATATGTCAATGTGTGTTATGGTCAGAGTGGCCGAACGGTCATTCATTGTCCCTGGGTGCGTGGCTGAAGTGGGGATCCGTGGTGAGGATTATGTTTGTTGCGTTGTTGTTTGTTTGTTGTCGTCGTCCCACCCGCGGCCCACTCGCGACCCACACCGCGACCCACCCCGCGACCCACCCCGCGACCCACCCCGCGACCCACCCCGCGACCCACCCGCGACCCACCCCGCGACCCACCCGCGACCCACCCCGCGACCCAACCGACCCACCCGCGAGCCACCCGCGACCCACCCCGCGACCCACCCCGCGACCCACCCGCGACCCGCCCGCGACACCCCGCGACCCACTTGCGACCCACCCGCGACCCACCCCGCGACCCACTTGCGACCCACCCGCGACCCACCCCGCGACCCACCCGCGACCCACCCGCGATCCACCCGCGACCTAACCGCGACTCGCCCGCGACCTTTTGCCTTTTGCCAGCCCCTTTTCCCTTTGCCAGCCCCCGTCCCTTTGCCAGACCCCATTTTCCTTCGGGGGCTGGCGCAAGCCTCGAGTTCACCGCGTCTTGGAAAGAAGCCGAGGGGTTCGCATCCAATCCAGCATTCTGCTCCAAAGCGTACACGTTCTGGAACTCCGACATCTTCTCCACCCGTTGCTGGCGCTGGCTGGACATATGTGTCTTGACCAGTTTTTCCATTGTGAAGTTCACGTACTGCTGGGTGGAAAAAGCCGGTAGTGTTTTGGCCATCTTCTCTCGGGCTTCATCTTTCAGGCTTGACACTTTTTGATTTGCCATCTTCTCCTCCTGGACCGTGTCGACCATCTTTATGTAGATCAAGGTCGCCCTCGCCGTGAGGTCGCTTGTGTTTGTTTGGGCCATTGCCCTGTCGCCATCGTCAAGGTCGAGCCCCACTGCATCCCAAGCAGATGGTTCTGAACGATGTGCAACTACGATCTTGTCCAGAAACATGCTTTTCTTGATGATGTTCCGCAGCAGTTCTTGCTGGCGCTTCAACACCAACATGTCCAACTTCTCTTGTTCTATTTGGCCTCTCGCAGCGTAGTGCCGGACTGTACCGTGAACTCACCTCAGATTTCTTGTTGTACTGCCACATCGTCTCAAAACGGGCGTCTCGAACGATATGTGTACGTTCCGCAAGCCCAGATTTGCTGGAATATCGCCACCGTCTGTACCCAGCGAAGCGATGATTGACTGTAAATGCTCGATGGTGGCCATGGTTTTCTGAACTGAAGCAATCTTCGCCTTTAGCTCCATAGCGGCTTTGTTGATGCATTACCGTACTTCTATTGTGGTTTAGGTCCCCAGATTATCTTGGGCTATACGCTCGCGTTCCTGCTGGCGATGGACGTTCTTCTCCATCTTCACTGCCCTGGGCACTGCGGCTCCTTCCTCGGGCTTCACGATGTGGTGCAGCATCCCCAAGACCTGGATGGCAAGGAGTAAGAATGCTAAGATGTAGTGCCCGTCTGCCTCTGTCAGCCCGGTGTTGCGACGCAGCTGCTGCAGCGCTGCCACTTCCTGGCCTCCCCTCACGGGGATCACCACCAGGTGCGAAGTCGCCCATTCTTTAGAAAATGTGTAACGTATCAAGGACAATTTGATGAGCATTACGTTTTCTCAACTTCCAACGAATTTGCCCTGCAGGACTTTGCGAAACCTGCAAGTGGCCTCGCTCGCTGAGCGCTCTAGGCCAAAGGCTACGTATGCGACATATATCACAGCTCGGGGGAACCACTGGAATTACCATCAAGCGCACTGTCATGGTCCGTGTGTCACCCTGAAGGGCTCTTGCGCCCAAAAACTATGTCATGCTACGCTACGCCATGCTATGATATGCTATGCTATGCTATGTTAGGATGTGAGCTGCTCTGTTGTGCGATGCCAATGATATGCAATGCTATGCTATACCTTGCGATGGTATGATAATGTTACTGCTAATGCTAGTGTGTATGCGTATCGCAATGCTAATGCGAATGTTAATGCTACTGCTAATCATAATGCTATGCTAATGGTGATGCGAATGCTAATGCTAATGCCATGCCACGCTAGATATGACATTGTTAATATTAGTGGTAATGTTAATGTGAATGCTAATGCGAATGCGAATGCTAATGGTATGATATGCTACGACTTCCAAATATGATGCAAAGGCTAACGCGAATGCTTCTGCGAATGCCAATACCGCTGCTTATGATACTGTTTATGGTGATGCGTATGCGTATGCATATGTTTGTGTTTGTGATTATGAGTATGCGTATGGTCATGCTTATCATGTTGCGTATGCTTATGCGCATACTTGTGGTTTCGCTTATGTTTATGTGTATGCGTGTGCTTATGCGTATGCTTATGTAATGGTAGGATGTGCTGTGCTACGCTATGCGAGGCGATGCGATGCTATGCTATGCTGTGCTGATGATAATGCGAATGATAATGCGAATGGTAATGCTAATGTGATGATATGCTATGCCATGCTATGTTGCGCCATGCTATGCGATGCCATGCCATGCCATAATATGATATGCTGGGCTGGGCCGTGCTGTGTTGCGCTGTGCTATGCCAAGTTATGCCATGCTATGCTATGCCGTGCGTGTGTGTCGCTTCGTCGCCGCGCGCGAGGCCGCGATGCAACAAAGTGTGCGTGTGTGCGTGCGTGCGCGGGTGCGTACGTGTGTGCGTGCGTGCGCGGGTGCGTGCGTGTGTGTGTGTGTGCGTGTGTGCGGCGTGTGTGTGTGTGTATTTGTGTGTGTGTGTGTGTGCGTTTGTGTGTGTGTGTGTTTGTGTGCGTGAGCGTGTTGAACGCGGCATGTTTTAGTTGTGCGGCGTAAAGTCGCTGTGCCATCTCGCGTAAGACCCGTTTTGGAATCGTGGCTCCCATGTGTTTATGTTTGCGTATGCGTTTGCGGGGCCGAGAAGGGCAGGCTTCCGTCCCGTGCCAGCCCGGCCCGTGCAGGAGCCTGCTCGAGCGCTCGGTTTCGACCGGCGAAGCCAGCCGCCCGGGCGCGGGCGCTTTCGCCAGGAGGCGCGCCCGCGTGGCGAGGGGGAAGGGACCTCCTCTCGCTTCGGGCTTCGAAGATCGAGGAGGAGGAGGAGGAGGAGGAGGAGGAGGAGGAGGAGGGGGTGGCGAGGGGCGCAAGACAGCCCAGGATGGCCCAGGAGGGCCCCCCTATCGGTCTCCCAGCCTTGCGCCCCGCGCCGTGGGGCCCGCGAGGCGCGAGCGTCGCCGCGCCCTCGCGCGGCCGAGCCCCCAGGGAGGGAGGAGGAGGAGGAGGAGGAGGGGGGAGGAGGAGGAGGGGGAGGAGGAGGAGGAGGAAGGGAGGTACTCTTCTCTTCGTGCTTCGAGGATCGAGGAGGTGGAGGGTTCCTCCGAAGGGCTTAGGCGACCCGTCCTCCGCCTCCTCTTCCTCCTCCTCCTCCTCCTGCTCCTGCTCCTCCTCCTCCTCCTCCTCCTCCTCCTCCTCCTCCTCCCTCCTTTTCCTCCTCCTCCTCCTCCTCCTTCCTCCTCCCTTCTCTTCCTCGATCTCCTCGTCCCCCTCCACCTCCTCCTCCCCAGGTCGCCTACGGCCCTGGGGGAAACCGTGCACGAGAAGGACGCTGTGAGATATAATTCCGCATATTCTGTGCGGGGTTCTTGTTCCCCACGTCCCGCGCAGAGATGTTGTTCTCTCTGGACACCAAGCGCCGTCATCCTCCTCCCACCCCCTGTTCCCAGCCGTGGGTATCACCGTCACCATCCTCCTCCTCCTCCTCCTCCTCCTCCTCCTTCTCCTCCTCCTCCTCCTCCCTCCTCCTCCTCTCATCATCATCATCATCATCATCAGCACCATCACCATCATCATCATCATCATCATCATCATCATCATCATCATCATCATCATCATCATCATCATCATCATCATCATCATCATCATCATCATCATCATCATCATCATCATCATCATCATCATCATCATCATCATCATCATCATCATCATCATCATCATCATCATCATCATCATCATCATCATCATCATCATCATCATCATCATCATCGTTATCGTCATCAGCATCAGCATCAGCATCAGCATCAGCATCAGCATCATCATCATCATCATCATCATCATCATCATCATCATGATGGAGGGCGCGCGCCAGCGGCTGCTGGGGCGTCTGTTCCGAGGCACTGATGCGCTCCGCGCAGGGCGGCTGTGGCTGAGCCTCCAGGCCGACGACGAGCGGAGAGCGAACCTGCTGTCGCACGCGGGCAGGGGCAACGGCACTTTCTGGTTGCCGATCCCGCACCAGCGCTGGATGCAAGCCAGCACGGCGTTGTGGCAGATGGCCTTCTGCCGCCGCCTGGGCGCGGAGCTCGCCCCGCCCTGCACCGCGCCACCGCGACCGACGGCGCTGGCGAGGCCACGCGAGACTTCAGCGAGCCGCTCGGCCGCCCCGCCGCCCACGCTCTGGCGTGCCCCCGCAGCGCCACCCGCCTGCGAGCACACACCGGCGCCGTGCGCGGCCTCGAGAGGACGAGCTGCGTGCCGCGGGGGCCGTCGTGGACATCGAGCGCCGGGTCCCTGAGCTTCATCAGTTCGGACCTGATGGGTCCATCCGCGAGGCGGTCATGGACCTGGTCGTGGGTTTCCCGGCCTCCGCTCAGGACGCCACCGTCCGCACGCCCTTCTGCAGCTCCCTGCCCGTGGCCAGCCGGGTCGCAGGCGCCACGGCGGCGGCGGGCGACCGCGCCAAGGCGGCCTGGCACGGCGACATTGAATGTCCGCAGCGCTGCGGTCGAGGCCGGCGGGCGCCTCCGCGAGGGCGCGGCGACGGCCATCGCCGAGCCCGCGGCCGCGTCGCAGATGCACGGGCGTCGACTGCAGGGCGGCCGCCGGGGCACGACGGCGCGCGCGCTCGCGGAGCGCATCAACACGATGGTCGTGCTGCGGTGCGCCGACGCGACGCTGGCGGCGCTGGGGCACTGAGCGCCCGCGCGCGCTCCTTCGGCGAGGCAAACCAGGAGTCAACGATCAGGAAGCGTCCGGAACATCATCATCATCATCATCAGCATCATCATCATCATCATCATCAGCATCAGCATCATCATCATCATCAACATCAGCATCAACATCAACATCAGCATCATCATCGTCGTCGTCATCATCATCATCAACACGATGATCATCAGCATCATCAGCTTCCTCATCACCATTAATCATTATCCTCGTCCTTATCATTAACATCACGCGGCGAGGGGAAGGAGAAGAAGTTGGAGGAGGGTCCTCTTAGCTTCGGGCTTCGAGGATTGAGGTTCGAGGATATGTTGGGATGCTGTTTGGTTCTTCGGGCCCGGGGTGACCGCCTTGGGGGCGTCATTTGGGGTCTCGGTGGCTGTCCGCTCTTGAGGCCGAAGAGGCGAGCATGCTGAACTCGTGCAAAGCCTGCGGGGACTCGGTGATGGTGGCATATTGTGCCGGCACCCCCCGCCTCCAAAACGACCCGAGATGCGCCCAAGAGGGCTTCAGGTCGGGCCTGCATACAATGTTGTAAACCCCATGGGCAAACACGGCGCTTCCAGCTCTTGTCCGATCAGACTTGCGTCCCCCTGGGCCCTTCGAGGATGGTTCGAGCAGTGGCGGAGCGTCCTGGCCTGCCCATAACGCCCATCAAAGAGTGTTGTAGGAACCTCTTGTGGTCTGCGCGACATGTTCTTGGAACGTTCCTGGCCGAGACTGTCTTCGCTCTGACACATCGTGCTTGTGTTTTACGAGCACTGTATTGTTCTTAGAACATCTTTGAGCTCTGAGAGCATGTCTTGGTAGGCCTACAGCAATGCGGGCCGAACGAAAGGGGGGGATTGGGAAAGGGGGGGTACGAAATGGTTGACGCTTCGCGCATCCCCACCAGCCCATCCAACACCAAGTACTCGAACGAAGAGCGCCGATCATCGGCAGTTGTTCTCTTCCTCCTCTTCCTCCTCCTTCTCTTCCTCTTCCTCCTGGTGGGGTCTTGGAAGTCTCTTGAGGCGTTTGGGTGGGCTCTTGGGCCTTGCGGGCGGGCGGGCGGCGCCCCGCCCGCCCGCGCGCAGGGCCCAAGAGGAGGGTCCAAGACGTCTCTTGGGGCCATCGTGGAGGAGATCGATCAACAAAGGGGGGGTCCTTAATTACGGTCCCCCCTCGGGAGGTCCCCACATCGCCTCTTGGAGCGCCCTTGGGCCGCTCTTGGAGCGCTCTTGGGCGCTCTTGGGGCCGTCTTGGGGCTCTCTTGGGCCCCTCTTCGGGCTCCCTTGGGTCATCTTGGAGCTATGTTGTCGCCTCGGATGGGCATCAGAAGCGCGAAGGCGAGAAAGCTAAACACATTGATTTTCCCATGGGTTTTGAAGTTTTTGTTGGCCTCTTGGGGGTATCCTTGGGGAGCTCTTTTGGACACTTGGAGCCATATTGGGGCGGTCTTGGAGCGTCTTCGAGCATCTTCGGAGCCATCTTGAGGCATCTTGCGCTATCTTGAGCCATCTTGGAGGCTATCTTGGGCTCTCTGAGGCCCTCTTGGAGCCAACTTGGGCGAGAAACTACCCTCTGACACCTCCCCGCCCCTCCCGTCCAGGTCCACGGGGAGGGGAAAGGGGGAGGGGTAAACCCCTCCCCGAAGGGGAAGAGAGAGGGGTGGAAGAGGAAACGCCCTAAACCACCGACGCCCAGAGGGCTGGTGGGATTTGCTGCATGCAGCTGGTTTCGGCCCCGCCGCCGGGCCCCTCCCTCGATACATGGGCGCCTCCTGGCGCCGGGAGGCGCCGGGAAAATCAGCTACGCGAGCTGCTTCTCAGACCCCCCGCCTTTGCTATCCCCCCCTTTCGCCCGGCCCGAAGGTCGGGCATGTCCTGCTACAGGCGGATCTTGCCGGAAGAAGTGAGAACAGTCAAAGCACGTTCAGGACTCGCTCAAACTACTGATCACAGTCGCTCCCGGATCATTTTTGGGAGCACCCGCTACGTGGGCCGACCCTTTGCTATCCCCCCTTTAGTTAACGGGCGAAGAACGGTATATAATAAACTTGTTCGCTGTCGGGGGCGCCTGTCCCAGGGCGGCTGGAAAGTTTATGCCCTTCGGTGGCACCGTAGGGGTATAAACTTTCCAGCCGCCCAGGGACAGGCGCCCCCGACAGCGAAAAAGTTTATTTTATACCGTTCTTCGCCCGCTAATTTAGCCCAGCCCGATTCCTCCCCTCGCTCGCCGCCGAGCGAGTCTCCGCGGGGATGCGGGGCCGCCGGTTCCCCCCTTTGCTATCCCCCCCTTGCGCCCGGCCCGAGCAGTGCCGGGACGGCCCGTCCCTGCAGCAAGTCCGGCGCTCCGCCGCCCGGCGGCGGAGCGGGCCCGCCCCCGGGGCAGGCAGGCGGCGCGGCGCGCCGCGCTGGGCGGCGGGGCGCCCTCGGCCGTGCCCCCGGCAGGCGCCCCCGCCCGGGGCTCTCTCACCGCCCACGAGCCCAGACCCCCTCGGGTAATGAAAAAATCATGACGGGAGGTTTTTCCTAATTTTCGGCCTCTGGGGCCCCTCACCGGCCCTCGGGACCGTCAAAAAACGACTCAGGATGAAAAACCGGTCCCGGGGAATGGGTCGAGATCTCTGGGGGTCGACGTCATGAAAAAATCACGACGTCGGGGGTCTGGGAGTCTCGCATCGGGGGGGCGTAAGACCTGGGTTTGCCAGGACTCGGGTTCGCCATCGTTTTTTTGACGGCCGCGCCTTGGATTTTGACGGGGAGGAGCTTCGTGGGATGTCTGCAGCGGGAGGCCTCGTCAAAATGCAGGCTCGACCTTGTCATTTTTTGACGACCTCGTCCGGGATTTCCGAGTCCTGTACCCAGGTCTTACGTCCCCCTGATCGCAGTGGCGAAGCGTCCTGGCTCGCCTGTAGCCCCACCGAACAATGGTCTAAGAGTTTTTTCTTTGTGTGGTTTCCACGGGATGTGCTCAGAACGTGTCTGGTTGAGACTTGCTTGGTTTAACACATCGGGTTCATGTTTTCAGAACCTTGTTTTTGTTATTATAACGTTTTTGGGTTCTAAGAGCACTCGTGGTAGGACTATAGGAATGCCGGGATGGTCGGTCCCTGCTCAACACGAAACCAACCCAACCCAACCCGGAGGCCCCGATTTGCCGTCCATATTCAGTTGGGGGGGGGGTCGGGGAACACGGAAAAAGCACATATGGAGCCCGTACCCCCCCCGCCCTATGCTGGCGCAAGGACGCTGGCCACTCTACAGTGGGCGTGGCTACCGCAATGGTTTTCTGGAGGGGAAGGCGGGGTTCGTCTCGATTCCTCCGACTCGATTCGATTCGACTTCGGTGGCCTCCGATTCCAGTTCGGTTCGACTCGAGATTCCGATCGGGGTGCCGTCGTCTCTTTGAAGGCAGATTCGCCTTCCGATTTTCGCCGATTCGGCTCCTCCCGACTTAGCTGCCGATTTCCGCCGATCCGATTCATTTCAATCGCCGATCCGACTCATCGATTTGATTCTGGGCTCTCCTGGGAAGGAGGCTCCTTCGGGGGCCCGCAGACTCCGAGGAGGACGCGCAATCCATGCCCTCCACCCTTACCTCGTGTGTGCCTTTTTGGACCGCCTGGGATGCCCGCGTCGCCACCGCTGGATTCGCCCCGAGCGACTGGTCAGAACGCACCCTGGGAGAGGTACTCCTCCTCCTCCTCCTCCTCCTCCTCCTCCTCCTCCTATCCTTATTCTTTATTCGAATCTACTCCTACTCCCCCCTCAGGCCGGCAGATAGCGGGCGCATCCGGGTGGTCCCATCCTAACCTGTAAAAAACAATACAAAATCATCATTGTTCTTATTTTTTCCTCTCGACATGGACGTCCTGTCGTCCACGGCGATAATCCATTGCAAAAAATACCACAAAGAGCACACGCGCGCGTTCATGTCAGAATCCTACCGAACACCGTGTGTTTGCAAGCATTTCAACATAAAAACATCAAAAACCCAATGCTTTTTCACAAAAAAAATGTACAAATTTCCCGCCCGGGCTCTCTTGCTGAAATCATTGGAAAACCATAGGAATCTTAAGAATTCGGTCAAATCCAGCGATTTCACGTCATCGCGCGGTGCACTCGCGATGCTCTGTCATGCACCCAGGCCGCGAATCCTGTGCAACAAATACTACAAAGAGCACACTCGCGCGTTCATGTCAGAATCCTACCGAATACCGTGTGTTTGCAAGCATTTCAACATAAAAACATCAAAAACCCAATGCTTTTTCACAAAAATGCTTTGGGGTGTCCTGTCAGACCGTCGGGCTTCCTCCGGCCACCTCTGGCTTCCTGCGGTGTACCGGGCCATTCTCGACTCGTCTGGCAATGCGTGCGCGGCATTCAACACGCGCTCGCCAGTTCCCGTCGGCAACCGCCATCGCGGCCGCATCAGCTGTACCAAACCGGCTGGCCGGTGTGACTTCGGCCCCCAGTTGTGCCAGCTTTGCTTCTTATGTTGTGGGAGGGCGGGTGGGACCGGGCATGCCATGCTTGACTCGCTCGAGCTGGCTAGCTTGACTCCTACTCCTCCTCTTCCTCCTCCTCCTCCTCCTCATCCTCCTCCTCCTCCTCCTCCTCCTCCTCCTACTCCTACTCCTACTCCTACTCCTACTCCTACTCCTACTCCTACTCCTACTCCTACTCCTACTCCTTTTCATCTTCGGGGGGAAACATCCGTATCATCCTCAGAGGAGGAGAACGAGGACAGGGAGACGAGGAGGACGAGGAGGACGGGGAGAACGCACCCAGGGGAGTAGCGGTGTCGGTGCCTGTTGGTTTCCTTAGTTGTCTTCGGGGACCCGCAAACGGTGTGGTGACCACACCTCGCCAGAAGTGCCCCTGGCCCAAGCTGCCCAGGACTCCCAAGGATGCCCCCACGGCTTTCAGAGCACCCCTCGCTGAGCCCAGGGGGGGCCCTTGCGGCTCCAAGGCTGAGCAAAACATCGG